CCATGACTTGGGCCCAAAATCAAAGCCTAAATGTGATCAAACAAAGAAATGGGTTGGGCTAAGTTTGAGCCCATTTATTGGAGTTGTTGGTTATTATATGCTTAAAGAGTCGAATAATTAAAGTTTTTGCAGATTCTTCAAAGGCATTATAGCTTATCAACTATCAAGAGAGATTCTTCACTCACATTCAAGTATTCAACTTATAAATTAAAAAGTGAGATTAATTTATAGTTTTAATATAATATTATAAGGAATATCATTTCAAGTGAACTATTTGACTTGTTTCTGGATGACAGGATCTTAGATTATCTAGAGGTTTTGTGTTCGAGCTTCAACAAATGACCACTTACCACATTTATGATTTACTTGATTTATTTTGTTTATAGGGTATCTAATAGATTTTGGAGATTAATTAAGGTGTGCGCAAATATCATTTTAAGAGATTCTCTCCTTGTTAAAAACTTAACTTTATGTTTCTTATTCGAAATTCGGCACTTCTAAATTAATTAATTGACAAAATGTTATAAATTTGGTTTGATTATGCTATGTTCATTCAATAAAATTACTCTACATGGTCGGTTAAATTGTGCTATACCATATCAAAACGGAACATTTAACCTCATCTTGACACACCCATTTACCTTTCGGTTCACTTTTTCAACTTCAAATTACAGTTAATGACAAGAATCAATTCAATTCTATTGACCAATCAATAAATTTAGGCCGTTAACTAAAAGAAAATGTAAGGAAATTCATTGGTTGATGCTAAGCTTTAAACTTTCTGGATATATATAAATATAATATAAAATATTGGAGAACATTGAATTTTATTTTATTTATTTATTTAAACTTGCAAAGAACTTACCGATTAATGACAAGTTTTGAAGTCTCTCTGCAAATCTAGGCTTTATATATTCTGATATGTCTTCTTTTTTGATAAAAAAGTAGTTCTCTAAAAATGTCCACTCACCGCATATCTAATTAAATATAAAACCTTTATCACTTTATGAGAACATATTTATGAAACAAATTGATAATATTTAGAGACTAATTAAAAAAATACCCTGAAACGTTAAATTAAATTAGTTTTGTTAATAATATTATTTGGTCACAAATTTGATGTTCAAAAGATGCAATAATATGGCATTAAACAATATAACCCATAAGAAAATTAAAATCCTGTTTAATATATATATATATATAGATGAAATTAGGAATTTGTGGATTCTTTTTGGCGTTGCTATTACATTTAGTTAGCTTATAATGGAAGTTTAGCATCTTTGGGACGAGGGAGTAATTAATTAATTAATTAATAAGTAATTGATATATTGGAATATTTTAATAGAAAATTATAAATAAAATTAAACTAATATGCTTAATTTGAGTTCACAAATTACATCGGGGTGATCAAGTGGTCCGATAGGGGCTTTTGAGTTATTACTCAAGAAATCTTAAGTTTGAGTCTCTGTTCGGTTGCTAATAGAGGTAACCACTGGATTTCTTATCTGGTCGATAGTTCTAGGATTTCGAAGAATTAATTGAGATACGCGTAAGCTGACCCAGACACTCTCGATCATAAAAAAAATAAAATTGAGTTGCTATATATATATATATATATATATATATTACAAAGAAATCTAGATTAATTTTTAACTTAAGACTAATGAAAATTGTTACTATTAATCATAATACAATTTCCCAGCTATCTCAAATGTAAACTCAAGAATTAATTGGACAATAATAAGGGTCAATCTAATTTAATTATGATCCAAAAATAATATTAAAAAATTAAAATAAGATTCAAAATTTTGAGTTATATTTTAATATTTGTAATATAATATTAAAAAAGGTTTTCATATTAAAACCATTTAATTTTACATTAATTTTTAGATTTGTATTCAAATATTTTCGAAAATATTTAGATTCATTTTAATTGTATTCTTTTTATCTTTTATCAAAGAAGCCGTGAAGATCTTTGCAAGTATATGAATAGGTAGCCAGCTCGCCTTCTGAATCTTAAATCTTTTCTGTTTTGGACCCTGCAATTATTGAGTCCCCACTTCTTGGAATCCTATCTAAATCGCATCAAAGTTAACCTCATGTTATTAGATTCAAGAAATAAAGCTGAGTTATCGATTCCTTGAACAGTAGTATCCATGTTTACAATGTTTTCATCTGGATTTTGCCTTTACAGATCACTAGTTTACGTGGAGATTTATAACACCGCCTGACCTCTCTAATCGGCTAGCCATTATCAAGAGTACATTAAAGATGAAGATAACCACCGTCCACCGTCTTATGATTATGATAAAAAGACTTGACTTGAAGTTAATCAGACATTTACCAACTTCAATTTCTAGGGCTGCAAGTGCTAGCTAGACTTATCAATGGCTGTCGCCCATATTAGAAACCAGGTGGTCGGCTCTAGATTTCTATATATACTTTTATACATGAATCAAAGTCATTGGTTGCATGATTATGTGTTAGATCTTTGATATTGGTTTTATCCTCATGTTCACGTGTAAAACCCTGAATATTTCTAGACTCAATAATTTCAAGAAAAGTTCGGCTTAGTTAAGCACTTTTTGTTGATCTTACACGTGTATATTACAATGATGCTACGTGTATAAATTAATATACAAACTAACATATATAAACTGATGTAATGTCGTTATTTTATTTACGTATAATTTATATTTATGAAATTGATTTTTTATATATATTTATTCATTCACTTGATGATACATTAATTTATGTGAAAGAGTTTATCCATTGTTATATTTAATTAATAAAATATATATTTTGAGGAATCTCGGTGTTAAATTCTCCAAAATTAGAAGGAAATACCCTTTTTCCAACACCGATCAAATTCATGATAATCAAATAACAACGGAGCGTCATATTCTTCAGCTATGAGCAAGTATCTAGAATATAAAAATGCAATCCCAAAATTCGTCACCAAAAAAGAATAATACCAGATCTCATGATCTCCTAAAGTTAAGAAAAGAAACCCTTTGAACACCAATCAACTTTAAATTCTACAATAATTAATAAACCAAAGACATTGATAGTGCAGCTGGGTTTCATCTTCAATAAAGCAATGAAAAAAATTTACGATTAGTAATCCTTAACAAAGTATTTTCCTTTAATGGCGGGTCCTGCTGCCCACATTAAGCCTCATTCTAACGACCACTCAACACTAAAGTACAAATAAAATCACACCTAACCAGATTGACATGAACTCACAACATACATTATTGTTTACTTGTAAATCTGCATAACCTACTTTTGAATACAACTTTATATTATTCATTCTTCTTATAGCTGAATCTCAAAAAATTCAATGAATTATGAATCATAATATTATTTCCGGGTAGTGACATTACTGTCTCATGGCGTACAGCAGTGAAATTTGCACAGAAAAAATATTTATTTAGAGAGTGAAAGAGAAAGAGGTGATAATTACTTGAAGCCTATCCTCATCTTCGAAGATTAATATATGTTAATCTTGATTATTTGGAGTAAAAGTATAGGAGAGTTTTTAAGGGTGGGGACACGTGGCAAACACCCAGAAGGCTGGAGAGGATGAAGCTTGTAGTTATAAGCAAAGCTTATGTAGCCATTGAAATAGTGATTATTAAATAGTTGAGAGACATGTGTAACAATTTTAACTAATAATGATCTTCTCTTAATCTAAGTTTTCACCTTATCAGAATTCAAACTTGAGATTGGTGATTAATTAATTAATTAATTAATTTTTTATAAATAAAACGTAGGAATTATAGACAGCTGGGTGTGGATTAATCAATGGAAGTGGTAGTCATTTTCTGAAATTTGGTTTCAGCTAAGCAAAATTAAACAACAAGATTAATAGATAAGTTTCTTTAATGAAAGTGGAAGACAATATTAGTAAAAAATAAAATTAAAAAAGTCTCAATAATGTCTGAGTATTATGATAATGATGATGTCTTCTACAATTATAGAGACTCCTATATTTTTATTAAAACCAAAAATTAATTATGAAAAATATAAGATTTATTTTATAATGGGTGGTATAAATTTTTTTTAAACAATTATTTATTTATTTATTTTTTTTAAGATAGCCTAAGGTGAGAAATTAATGATTTCACCACTTCTGGGTGGTCGGGTAGGATGATAAAGACTCTTGGGTGTATTACTTAAGAGTTCTTGAGTTTGATTCCCCTCGATTGTTAATAAGAGTGACCACTAGAGGGGAAACCTAGTTGTTAATTTCAGGGTCTTGAGAAATTAATCGAGGTATACACAAGTTGGCCCGGACACCCGGGTCGCAAAAAAAAAAAAAAAAAAAAATCAACAATTTAAACATGACAATTTGACTGAAATATAACATGAATTAAGTAATGTAAATAAAGGGATAAATTTGGCTTGTTAATAAGATGATTTTACTTTTAAATTAAGATTTTTCTAATAAAATGTGAATTGTGAGTCCGACTTCCTAATTTTTATGTTATCAATCAAATAATAAATCACTAAAAAGTGTTATAATCCACGGGAAAAAAGTGTCTCCTTTTGAAGAAGCTTCTCTACCAAGAGCCTTTATCTTGCCTACAATTATTCTCCACTTTTATGAGACATAAAATGCATTAATAGATTTTATATATTACTTTATTTTGGTCTCCATTTATTAAGTTATTTTTTCTGGGCACGAAAGTGACAAAAATACATATTTTTAGCTGCTTGTTTTCCATCTTTGTGGCTGTGATTACTGGGAAAAGAACTAAACCAATGTCTTTTTGTTTATTTATATAGCCATGGCCGAAATCTATGTCCAATTATAACGAAATAAAGAGCCTTTTATCTGTTTGTTTCAAAGAGATCCCTATTTTACCGGGATACCATGTAAGATATGGCGACATATTCAATCAGAAAAAACCTGATTCTACATAAAAAATGTCGCCAAATTCTTTTAATTATAATTAAAGATTTTCTAATCTTTTTATAATCTATATAAACTTGCATGCATATCATTAATTCAACTATAATACATAGTTTAAAGCGTTGAAGACTCTTTATAATATACATAATTTTCGAATAATAACATAACTATAAAAAGCTAAATATTTCACAAACAAAAGACAAAACCTACATTAATTGATACAAAGCATAACTAAATTAAAGCCAAACACGTCCTAATAAACATCAAGCAACTAAGATCGATCTAAATTCTAAACTACTCTAAGAGAAAATTGATCATGATTCACATTTCTTCATTTCTTCTTCTTCCTCCTCCTTACATAATCGCACATGCATGTGGATTCTCATCGCTGAAGAGATTGGTCAGCCGCTCGTCGGTTGCATTCGGGCTCGGAAGAGCTTGAACAACATTTTTAACATAGCCTGACGGCGCCTTCTTGTCGTACGCCTGAGCCACATAAGGATACGCCACCAAATTGTAAGGCACGTAGGGCCAAAACTCGGCTCTCTTGCCGGTGCTCTTCACTTTCTTTAACACCTTGTTTGGCTCCACATAACCCGTCACTGTTACCCGACTTTGCTTCCTGTTCACATCTATGCTTTTCGCTCCTGCATAAAATATAATAAAATTTAATTATACCATTTAAATCTGAGTTAAAATTTTGACAGGGACATGAATTTTTTTTTTTGGGCTGAATGACATTTTGGCCCCCAATATATCGCCAAAAGACTTCTTTCCTTTTTCACTTTTTGGTTCTGGAAGCACCCATGGTACCCCTTAATTCATTATAGAGACAAAAACCTAATCTAACATGATGAATTGACAAAATTGTCTTTTCACATTCAAAAAATGGGGGTAATTTGGGTGTTTTGAAATCAAGGGGGTAAAATTTCTTTTGCGACAGACTGAGGGATAAATTGTTATTAGCCTTTTTTTTTCTTTTTTCTTGTGTTAAGGGTGTGTTTGGTGTTGTGTGATAAATGTTGTATTAATTTTATCACATAGCGACAAAGAGAAGGTGGTTTAAATTGAAGTAGAAAGAGGGCTTCTGGCTTCTGGCTCCTGGCAGAGATGAATTTATGGTTTGAATTGGAATTTAAAAGGAGTATGGAGGTCAAGAGATAATACAAATTTTCTGATCCTGCCAGTTTCCAATACGGTGAATGCTCAAAAATTATGTTCTTTCTTTCTTTGACTCTCTCTACTGACAGTGACAGATATTTCCATGTAGCAAAATGAATGAAGGCTCAAAAAATAAGGTACTGTAAAAAGTTGAATAAAAAGGAAAGCCATGCAAAAACCTTTTACAAATTAAGTGTTTAAAGTTGCTTCAATTTTGCTTTTTGCATGATTTTTTTTTAGCTCTATCGGCTCTAATAGCCTTCAAACTATGTAACAGGCTTCATTACTTCGAAAATAGGCATGATAATTGGAAGAGATTGACGAGGAAAACTTTGAGTGAAATCAAAGAAAATTATTAAACCTTTTCGTTTGTTAAGTAAAGAAATGAGAGAGCCTGAGGTTGAATATTCCATTAATACTAAAATTTATCACCTTTAATGGATGAAACAGCATTTTTAACTCTCCTTTCGCAGCCATCACAGTCCATTTTCACCTTGATTTCAACTGTCTGCAAAACGAGAAAACATGAACTCAATAAACTTGGAGAGTTATATACTTGATTGATTATGAGAAATATATATATATATATACCTGCATCGGCTTTCGCTTCTTCCTTTTAGGAGTGATTTCAAACATGTCTAAAAGATGGTCAAGTGCCCCCATTTTGGAAACACAAAAGCTTGAGAGAAATTAGAAAGATAGAAAGAGAAAGAGAAAGAGAGAGATGAGAGGAGAGTTGTTGTGGAGGAGGATGGAAATATAAGAAGAGAGGTTTGGTTGTATTTATAAGAGGTCAAAACGGTGAGTTTATAGGAGGGATTAAGGAACAAGTTAAGCTTAATTAAAATTAATATAAAATAAATAAACTTATAAGAAAATGACTTGTGTCGTGCTCCTAAATCATGCATACCATTCGCAGAAATTTCATGACTGACAACTTGGCAAATAGGTTCTGTTCTTTCCCTTATAATTTATACATATAAATAATTAATTTAATTATAAAATAAGACAAGTTTAAGTTGATTGTTAGTTGTTTGCTTGTAACTTGTAAGACAGGTTAACAAAGAGCTGTTGTCTTGCTGTTTAGTTTGTTCCAATGAAAATTAAAAAGCAGAAATTGGTGTAAAGGGCTTTGCTTTACCCCATTATCTTCTGTACTTTGCCCTACACGGTTTCCTTTACAAATTTATTTCTCTGCCCGCGGTTTCAAATAATCAATTTTTTTTTTTTTAATTTTCTTTTTGATTTTATATACTATATATATATAGTCTATAATTATTTACTTCTACAATAATATATGGGTTTGTCTTGGGATATGTTTTAATTAATTTTTTTTTTTTTTTAATGATCGGAATTCGAAAGTGTCTGAGCTAGTTTACGTACACCCCAACTAATCCTCCGGGATCTTGAAACTACTGGTCGGATAAAAGTTTCAGTGACTATCCCTATTAACAATTAAGGAGAGACTCGAACTCAGGATCTCTTAAGTAATAATATATCCAAGAGTCCTTATTTAGAAATGTTGAAAATTTTAAAAATAATAAAAAAAATTTGAATCACAATCCATAAGTTTTGGTCTTGTTTTCTTAGCTTGTGGTGATGTTTCTTTGAAAAAAATATTATTGCATTTGCTGTAGTGATGGAGATGGTTAGTTTACAGATGTGAAAAAAGAGTTCAAATTAAATAATCTGGAGCCCATCTGACCTGAATTATTGCAAATTTGAAAGTGATGCTTGCTCTTTATAAATATTTATTTATCAACAGTGAAATTAAATGTATAATACATCAACTTAATTCATTAATTAACGTGGAGTTATAATCAAAGTTGCAAGTTTAACACCATACAATATGATATTTCGTTCTCATTAATTACTGTTTCCTATGAAGAAGAGAAATATCAATGTCTTTAGTTCTTTTGGCTGATAACTAATTAAATTAATTACATACACATCAATCAAATATCCTCAAGGTGTGATTATTATTGGCTTAAATTATAGAATGAAAAAAAAAATATATATATATCTAAAACTTGTATAATGAATAAGATGGGGTCTAAAATTCAAGAATTTTAGGTGAACACAAGTCCTAGAAGATGCGCAACGTTTCCGTAAATGATTAATCTACGGAATGTCAAGCCCCTTTTTAATTAAATTTTCTCGCTCTCCAAACAGTGTCCACAAGAAAGTATGGGAAAAAAATTCATGGTAATGAGCAAACCTCTTTACGATCGCCTCACCTCCATAATAATTTGAATGTCATTTTCGAATAATAATAATGCAATGCATCCATATTTGAATTCATATTCATGGTTATTGCCACCCACAAATTACACAGTAATTAAAAATATTAATTCTTCAAGTTAATAATTTATTAACTCTAGCTGTAAATTTCTGGCAACAAATTGAACTAAAAATGAAGAAAAAAAATAAACTCTATGTTTTAATCACATATATAATTAAAAATGCATAAAAATGGAAAAATAAACTCCATGTTTTCATTCTTTAGCTATTTTATTATATTCCTTCGAATTATTTATTAAAAAAATGATAATAAATGCAGGGAATTTTACTGTTTCCCTTTTAAATAATATTTTTAGAAAATCATATATTTTCGTAAAACAAAAACACCGAATAAACTATTGAATAAAACCGCCGTAATCGCTGATTGAAAACTCAATCAAACAGCTCTGAAAATAAAGCTCGAAAACTTACAATTTCTTGCTGTAGGTGGCCTGTATTTGACCCAGTTAACGTGTGAAAGTGTTTTACAGCCACAAACCCCATTGGAAAATATGTATTAATTAAGTGGGCATACAGATTAAGCAGACGTGAGTTAATGATTGAAGACAAGAGGATTCCAGCTTGAAATTTAAAGAACAAAACCGCCGAAATCGCTGGTAAACGCCCCTGTACACACTACCACTCAAATAATTCATAACCTAATTAATCTTGTAATGTACAATTATTCAAAAAATATCTCTAGCTACCAAATTTAATGAAATAGTATTAATTTAAAGTCAAGTCAATATAACACTATATATTATAATTAATACTTGTGGGCTAAATATCTAGGGGTGTGACAAGTCAAATTTTCAAATTAATGATTGCCACAAGATGTAAACATAGATCTATTGCCAATCATATTCTTTTCTAAATTCTAATGTGTATATTGTTCATAAACGTGGCAACCCCATGACCAAATTATTTCAAGTGATCAAACGGACCCATAAACATGGCAATATGGCATAATTGAAGAGCCAAAAAAATTGAAACAATTTGAGGTTTTATTTGCCCTTTTTTTGTTTTTTTTTTTATAGTTAAACAAATTTCAAATATAAAACAACGGTTGATTGTCATAAATAACATTAATTCTCTTATCGATATTTATACATTTCTCACAAATTCTCAAAAATAAAAAAATTTTTTTGACGATGCCAAAAGTTTATCAATTGGATAAATTTCTTTTTTCCAAGGTATTAAAAAAACAATCTATTAATTTTAATAAATTCCTCGATATATATCTCGAGATGAGTATCAATATTGAAGTTCTATATGATTGAATAGATAAAACCTTGTTGGTTGTTTTAACTTTTAATCATGCTATATATGTTGAGTAGTTTTCAATTATCAATGATTGATTTTAATTTAATCTAAATTGCATACACGTGTCTACTTTTATACATAGGCATATTTAAAACGTTACAATAAAATGTATAGTTTAAGTCTCGATATCGTGCATTAAAATTAAGAAGAAACACGAACATTAATTCTTTCAAGAAATTGATTAAATTAAAAATTATTTAATTCTTTTTACTTTTTAATTGCATGTCTAACTATAGAATGTGCATAGCACGTAAGATATAATTAAATTAATTAATTAATTAATGATTAGTATAACTAGCATGACAAGATACTATGTAATTCAAACATTGTATTAAGTGCACGACAAGTTTAATTAAGTATCAATTGTTCATGATTTAGTCAAACAATACCCAAATAGATCGATTTAATTAATTAATTAACAAAAATATTTCTAAATCTAATAAAAAAATTATTTATCATCAGTGAATTGTTAAAAATTGCATTAAAAAAATTAAAACATAATATTATCATTCTTTAGTTTAATATATAAACTTCTAAGTGAAAATTTGTACTATAAAAGTCCTTTTTTGAAAAAAAAGATCTATATAATAATGCAAAAATGATTTTATTTAAGTAAATACAGAATTTCATTTTGCATGCATGAATTTAATAACTAAAATTGAAGGTAGAAAAAGAAGATGAAAAAAATCATGAGAAATAATGAGCCCGATTGAGTGAAGTGGAAAGTAGCCCAGCTATTCAGATTTAGCCCAATAATATTCTATTGGGCCTATACTTGGGCTACTGAATTATATTTGGGCGTAATTTGTAAAGCTTCTAAATACACCACCCAATTTTCTAACAACACATTTTTATTCCTTCCATCCAAAGTGATATTACATTTTTCAATAATATCTACTGAATGATCTACACAAACATGTTCTTAACCCATATAGTCCCATAAGCTAGATGATTATATATATTATCATAAAATAAATTTGATGTTTATATTAATTTATAAACTTATAGATATTTCTTAAGATACAAATAAATACACTTTCCTTGAAATTAATAGAAGCTTCAACAAGGTCAAAAAACATGCATAATTAATTTTGATTAATTTCCTCGAAATTTCGAAAGAGTCAACTTTGTTTCCTCACCAATTTTTATATTGTAATTGATATAACAGTAGTAATGTTATTATAATTAAGTAGATCACTTAGGGAGTATTTTCATGGAGGGTTAGCTCGTAGCTGAACAATTAGATATATAGTTTATTTCTACGAGGTTTTTTAGCCGTAAAATTTAGGGTTTGAGTTCCCTCATAATCTATTTGATCAAAGACTTTAAAAGGTTTATATATTTTGTTTCTCAAATATTGGCGTGTTTGACGGTCCGATGAGAACTCCAATGTGTGAACTTTGATTCGTAATGTAAAATGTATAATTGAAAGTACAAAAGTGCAGTTCTAAGGTCGTTCAATGATATAATGGTAGTCCAAATTTATAATAGCATCAATTAAAATTTTTAATTTGTTGTCATAGTTGGATAATGTAATCAAAGTATAAAGATTCTTACGTTAATTTCCCACTTAATTAAGATATAATCATGCTTTCAACTACTACCAGCGCCCCGCATGGCCCCCCCCCCCCCCCCCCCCCCCCCCCCCCCAAAAAAAAAAACAAAAGACAATTTGTGAATTTTATGTAATTAAATAGGAAGATTAATTTAAATCACTGCAATATGGGTAATCGTACCTTTCAATGTTCAATTTTATATTTTGGTCTAAGATAACTGATTAAGGTTTTTCTAACCAAAGATTATTTAAAATAATAATTGGATGTAACATTATCCTCAATTAGATAACCATTATTCCTCTACAAATATGTATAATTTCTAGTAAATTAATTTATTTATAAAACATTAAGAAAGGAGTAAAATCGAGAGGGATGTCCCTCAATAATTGATGGGGTTTATCCACAAATGAAACATTCAACTTTATTTATATAAATTAAAAGTTCTAGTCAATTAATATGTTAATATCCCTATATGTGATATAAGATTGAAGCTTCAAAGAATATAATTTGCACCTAACCTTTTACAATATTGTCTTCTTTTGCCTTCTTACTTACGATATTCTAAATTCATCTATATTAAAAAGCCTTTGTTTGGCAAGATCTATT